TTATTAAATTTTAAAGATAATCCATAGATAACTACATATAATTGTAAGAAAATACCCAAGATAATATGTCAAGTGTAAGATAAAAAACTTATTTTCTCTTGATATTTTGAATTCGCGTAGTTATATCTGCAAAATATATGTATATTTATAGTCGATTAGTTCAAAAAATTCTGAAAATATTATATTGTAATTATCTCAAATTAAAAAATTAAGATAAATATAATAATCAATCTAAATTTATTATTAGTATTATTATGATAATTTCATCTATCTTTTTCAAATATTTTTCTTAAAATAGTGTGTACCATGTATACGACATTACTCTTCCAGCTTAGATCTATCACTATCGAAGGGTTAGGCTATCCTTTTCATTATCGCTAGGGTTTAAGATAAAGAATTATAATTTTTTTATTTAAACATTTTTTGTTTAATTTAGAAAAAATACAAGACAATATATGTTTAAAGATAATTCTCAACCGTTTTGATATTGAACGCTCACACCTATAACATTCATAGTACTCAAACCCAGGACTTCAAGGAATATATATTTTAAACATTTTAATATAAATTTTATCCATTTTTTAAATTTTTTATAAATTTAAATATTTCAAACCAATTATTTCTCAACAAATAAACAAGTTATGAATAGATAATTTAAATGAAATCATTACCATTTTCATCAATAATATTTTACTTTTGGAAGTCTAGTTAACCAATTATTTATCCCCCCAATTATTCATATTTTACTTTTGATTATGCATATTATGGCAAAACTGGGTTCATAATTTATTAAACTTCTGTTGTAATTGAAGAGGTAACTTGGAGCACACGTTATAATATTATATAATATGAATTTTTATAGAGTAATGCTATGAAAATAACTTGCGAATAAATCATCAATCCTATTAACACTCAAACAACTAACACGTAACTAATTAAAGTATAATTGTAGGAAAATATTTCTTTTTATTAAAAACCAAAAATGTATTAAATTTTTATTTTAAAATAATAATTAGATAATTCTTAATCATATTAATAAACAATAAATAAGAGAACCCGAGAACATATGATTCCAAACAATAAGAATGTGATTGGATGAGAGATTTTGAGAGAAGATTTATTTATTTTACGATTTTTAAAATTTTAAAAGTAATTTTCTTTATTTAAGTAAAATTTAATGGAAAATTTTAAAATTTACAGAAAATTTAAAGAGGGGATTTTGGTAGCCCACATAAAATTTTCAAATCCTACCTACAGAGATGATTTTTTTTTTAATTTCTATAAATGTTATCTCATTTAAAGCATCTGATCTCATTAATATATATATATCATTATCTTAGAGTAACACGGGTCACGACATATGTCACCATTTTATTGGATAATTCATTTTATTAAATTAATTAAAATTAAAATCAAATATATAAAATATATGAGCAATAAAGACTAAATGTGTAATTATATCAACTTTGTTGGTTGCCATGTCATCTCCTTCATCAAATATTAACAACATGTGTCTTGATTATCATTATTAAATTGTTATGTGGTCAAAATTAAAATTCAACGGTCTTAAAATCTTTCCATAATTAAGTGGTAATGAGTATAATTTTACCATGCTTTTAAATAATCTTATATTCAATCAACTAAATATAATGACTATATATGTAACATTTCCAATAATATTATACTAAATAAAAATTTAGCAGCACTCATATAAACTTTATTAATGTTGTTAGTTTAATTATATCTATCGTTTTTTTATTAATTATTCCTAAAAGAAAAATAAATAAAAATGTAATTCATGACGTGATTTTAACACAAACTTTGCATTTCATTTATGCTAATGTATGTAATAGTAGGTCTCTCTTTTATAATATGAAATATTTTTATTATACTTTCAATAATTTTACTCTTATTAATTTAAACATTAGTTAATATTAAAATTGTAAATAAAAATCAATAATAATATTTAAATATTAAATATTTATTTTCTGTATTAGTATAATAAATACTATTTAAATTTAAATATTTTAAATTAATTGATTGTTATGGGATAAGTCAAACTAAAAATATTATTATTTGTAGCCGGATAAGTCAATCTAGATATAGCCACTAAACCCCACTCAAAATTATTCTTTTAAAAATATCAAAACAAATTTGTGGATATTAAAAATCGAATTAAATTTATTAATATTATTTTTGAAATATTCAAACTTATTTTAGGTGAAATCACTTGAATCTCACAATTAGAACAAATTTAGAACATCTCATCGTTTCTGACCAACACATTAACCAATCACCGTGAGTCACCCAGCTTCTTTCTGATTACGTGTCCATTATCTATTGGCCCACATTTCACCGGCCATCTCCATCCCCTCAGGAATATTACTCCTTTCTTGGAATAATATTATACGGTATTCGTATTACATTCATTGATATTTTTGTTTAATTTATATTTTTTTATTCTTATAATTAGAGGAGAGAAAGATTCAAACCTCTATGCAACTTTTATTTATAAGAAATTTTGAGAAGAAATTTTATTAATCATGAATTTATAAATATTTTTAAGATGGATATTGTAGACACTTATTTTCGCCCGGAGTAATTTTGTTTTTATATATATATATATTCCTATTTTATTATATATATATATATATATATATATGTGTGTGTATATAGTAATATAATTTTTGAAAATGTTTTGACAAAATATAATGTATAATTTTCGGAAAAACGATTTTAAAAAATAAGTATATATTATATAGTTTTTGAAAACGTTTTTAAAATATATATAGTATATGGTTTTGAAAAATATTTTGAAAACATTTATATATTATATAGTTTTTAAAATATTTTAAAAGTATATATAATATATAGTTTTTAAAACATTTTAAAAACATATATTATATAAAACATTTTTTGAAAATTTATATATAATATATAATTTTTTAAAAACATTTTTGAAAACTATATAATTTTGAAAACATTTTTTAAAAAGTATATAATATATAATTTTAAAATAGTTTTGAAATTATATATTATATAGGTTTTGGAAAATATTTTTTATATATAATATATTATTATTAATTTTTTTCCTTTTCTCTGTTTTATTATTATTAACATTTTATTATTTTTTTGTAGGTCCAAAGTTTAGGTCAGAATAAAAGGGTCCAAGTCAGAGTCCAACAGGCCCAACCAGGTAGCTTAATCCAGCTGACCCGATTAGGCCCAAGTGCATGAAGATTACACAGCAAGACTAGGGTTTTTGAAACCCTAAAGTCAAGGGTCACGCGAAACGGCCGGACGTCGGTCGAGGATCCCGGGACTGAACCATCCCGGGATTTCAGCAGTAACGCCCCGAGCAAAACGGAACAACTCGGGGTATTGGTTCACCGAGCAGGGTATAAATACCCCGGTGACCAACAGAGGAGGGGAGAACGGTCATCGAGAACCCACGAGAACGAAACAGAGCCATCCAAAACCAACAGACCATCAATAGAGCCTCATCGAGAGAATACCACACAATACCCTCGACAGTACACCAAGAGAAACCCATCTCAACATATCAGCCAACATAAAAAACAGAGAGCCACAACCAAATAACACGAGAGTCGAAGCAAAACCAAACCAAAATAACCAAACATCGAAACAAAACAAAGCAACCAGATATACAACACAATAACAAAAACAGTAAGAACCAATGTGCGTCGGAACCAACAGGGCTCCCCGGGAAACGAACGATTTTTTGCAGAAAAAAGGTAAAAGGTCGAGGTTTGTTTTTTTAGATCCATGCCGGTGAGGATGTTGTTTGGGTATTTGGAGGTCCGTTTTAGGTTTGCGAGGCCGAGGAGGTTATTTTGGGCTAGTTTAGTTTTACCCGGTCGCCGCGAGCGGCGGCTAAAGCGACGGTCGGAGCAACTAGGGGCCACCGAGGAGGTGGTCTGATATCGCCTGGCAGAGAGATTTTTCTCTCGTTTAAAAACGGGAGCTTTGGAGGAATGAGAAAAATGTGATGGAAATAGGGTTTTAACTCATTTATATATGAGGGACCACTCTGCAAATAGAAGATTCTTAAATTTTTTCCGCAGTCCCTGATATTTTGAGTCGCAGTTCAATTTGGTCACTACCTGTAAATTTGCCTCCAAATTTCCAATTTAATCAATTCAATCCCTATTTTTTTTATTCTGTGAATTGGTCCCCTAACTTTTTATTTGTTCTTTTGCAGCTCATTTTCTAATTCATTAAGCACAATTCATTCCAATTTGATCCTAAGTTTTATTTTTATTTTTATTCTTTATTTTACTTCTAAATATTTTTTTAAACTTAACCTTTTGTTTTTTTACTTTATTTCATTTATTATTATTATTTTTTGTATATATATTTTTTTTAAATAATTTTTTCTTTCATTTTTATTATCTTTTTATTTATTTATTTTTATTATCATATTAAAATTTTGTTTTCGTATTTTTTTTATCTAACATACTTTGTTTCAGTCGTAATTCCAACCAATCAAAGGGTAAGTAATTCGGATCGAATAATTTAAATTTAAATTTTAATTTGCAATTTTCGCGTTTAAAGAGAACCGATAAATTAATTGGTACCGAAAGGGCGGTTCAAGGGTGCTAATCTTTCCTTGACAGTAACCGACTCCCGAACTCAACACATTTTTGGTACAACGCAGATCAGATAAGATGATGTCCGATCTACCTAAATGTTTTTAAAATGATCAGTGGTAACTCTAACCCAATTCAATTAATTCAAGTCGAAACCCAATTCGGAATCCATCCGAAAGACGGTTCCGACAGATATATATTATTAATATACAATTTTTATATATGATCTAGACATAAATAAGATTTTAATACGAATACAATCAGAATAATATATAATTTAGAGAAAATTTAAATTCTAAATGGACATACATACGTCTACCCTCACACAAATTTTTATAATTTTTTATTGTCATCCGCCTCTACTGTTTCATGTATTGCTTGAGCATTGTCTCAAGGAAGAGGTATCCCTTTAGTTTGAATCAGATACGCAGCCACGGCGCGTGGAAAAAACAACTATCTTCTTCCTTTTATATTCTAAACCACCTGCTACATACTAAGACGCCGTACTTTATCTTTCATTTCCCTTTTCTTCCCCATCTTCGCTTTCATGTATTAGTGCAAACTTTTTTTAAATTTGTGGCTTTAAACTTTGCTTTGCTTTTAGGCAACAAGAAAATCATTAAAATCACAGCTAAAACATCTCACTACTGTTTCATAAAACTCATGAGCAAGCAAAATCAACGCTCCACCTTCTGCTGTCGTCTTCAACCCAATACCAGAAGATCGCAGCCGTTATGGCAACAGGAATTGTAAATCAATGGCGAAGGCAAATTCACTCCTGTTCTTTCTCTGTTTCGTCGTCTCGATGTCAACGGCGCAAAGCCAAGCTTCGTCAGCTCCGCCTTCTCCACCGATCAACACCTTTGGGCCGGCTGGACACAAGTTCAACCCGTCGATGGAGATCGTCATAGTGGTTTTGCTGACGGCATTTTTCTTCATGGGATTCTTTTCTGTTTACATCAGGCAGTGTGCCGATAGGAGGAGTCGTGGCGGGAACTGGGACTGGGATTGGGACGGCACCGTGAATTTCGGGCGGCGGTCGAGGAGATCGATGCGTGGACTCGACCCCTCGGTGATCGATTCTTTCCCGACGTTCCTGTACTCGACGGTCAAAGGATTCAAAATGGGGAAAGACACGCTTGAGTGCGCCGTTTGCTTAAACGAGTTCGAGGACGACGAAACGCTGCGTATGATCCCTACGTGTTGCCACGTGTTCCATCCTGGTTGCATCGACGCTTGGCTTTCCTCTCATTCCACGTGCCCCGTCTGCCGCGCAAATTTGGTTCCAAACCCAGACCAGTCGACGATCCCCTGCGCCGCCGTGCTCCAAGAAAACGATTCGGTCTCCGAACAAGAAACCCGACCCGAAAACAATAATCCGATTGACCAACCCAGTGATATCGACGTTGTTAACCAGGCAGCGGACACAGAATCGCCGGATGTTAATCTGGTTGCAAGGCAGCAAAGGTCACGGTCGACGGGGTGGAGGTTAACCCGGTTGTTTCCACGGTCTCGCTCGACGGGTCACTCGTTGGTCCAACCGGGGGACAACCGCGAGAGGTTTACGCTACGGCTGCCGGAGGATGTTCGGAGCCAGCTGATGAACTCGAGTTTGAGCCGTACTAAAAGTTGGGAGGCGCTCCCCCGAGCGAGGAGTTCGAAGAGGGGTTATAGGAGTAGGAGTTTAGGGAGGAATTATTATAATTACGAGAGGTTCGATCAGTGGGGGTTCACTACGACTCCTCCGTTTTTTTTAAGGTTCGGGTTGAGCGGGTCACCGAAACCGGTGGTTAGTGGCGGCGATGAGGGGTCGGCTAGGAGTTTAACTAAACCTATTAAATCGTCATTTGATCGCTTGTTCATTGGAGGGTTGGGGGAGGAGAACGTAGGTGAACGATTGTCGGACCGACTACGGTCTGAAAGTCAGGTTTAGACGTTGGTGGTTTATCGGGTTTTTTTCTTTTGGATTTGAGGTGATAAAATGGGTTGTAGTATTATTTGATATCATTATTTGTTTAGAAGAAATTTACTCATTATTTGTAGTATTAATTCAATAGATTATATTCAATTTTAAATACTTTTAAACTAAATTATTTATTATCGGATCAATCTAAACATAAGTAGTACAATAAATTCTTTGTACTTAAATTAATGTTTTTTATATTTTAAAAATATTTTTGTAATTAAATAAATAAATAAAATTAATAATTGTGTTTTTACTTTAAAGTTTTTTAAAATTTATTGTTTTGAATTTATTAAAAAAATCTAAATTCTAAAAGTTGAATGAGCATGGGAAATTTTTTTTATTAAATCATGGGGACTTTTGAAAAATTTGACCCAAGTTATTTTTTTAAGGTAAACTATTTGAGTGATCATTTAATATGGGATTAATATCGATATGACCATCATTTTCAAAATTTCGTTAATATGACCATTTATCTATTTAATTAGTTTCAATATAGTCACATTCATTAACATTTAATGAAGGTGCTTACGTGGCAGTTAAAAAAATTGATATAATTATATATTTGATCATCAATATTTGTACATTCAATCAATTTTGTCTTAATTTCAATTTAATTTCATAAATTAACTATTCAATCATGAGGTGACATGTGTCAATATATGATGGTGCACATGTCATAGTTGACACATGTAAGAACCTAATTGGAGATTTTTATAAATTTAAATTTATTTAATGAAATTCATTTTCTATCCAATCAAACAGTGACATGTGTCACCTCTTTATTGAATGTACAAGTATTGAGTATCAAATATGTAATTATATCAATTTTGTTAACTGCCACGTATACAATTCCGTTAAATGTTAATGACAATTGACTATATTGAAACCAATTAAATAGTTAAATGGTCATATTGACAAAATTTGGAAAATGGTAATTATATCGACACCAATTCTATAGTTTAGTAGTCATTCAAGTAGTTTACCTTTTTTTTAATATATGAGCGTCACGTCGGTTGTTGCATTTCAGATAGCTTTTTCTTTTAACTTTTGTCAACACCTTTTCTTTAAAACTCTTTTTTTTTGTTCATTGTATTATTATTAAGGGTAAAGTACATAAATGAACCCTTGATTATATGGTATTATTTTGTCGAGTCTAATAACTATTAAAAGTTATAAAATGCTCCCTCACTATAGGGTGTTGATTTGGTGAGTACTCAAATATTAAAAGTTATAAAATGATCACCGACTATTCATATATTCCAAACTCATCATTTTCTGTTGAAAAATTGGCGATCATCTAAGACAGACGTGAACCTATTGACTAGGATATGATAAAATATAATCTCAAAATCATTTAGTTGTATTTTGTGGATTGAATATCCATTTACATTATGTCATTGAGTCAGTGCTAAAATTATGCTGGTGAGTCAGTGTTTGAAAGCAACGACAGTGCCAATAGACACCATTAAAATATGATTTTAAGGGTAAATGATCCATTGACTATAAGATGTTGTTTTGTTGAGTCCAATGGATATTAAAAGTTATAAAATGGTCCCCTGACTATAAGGTGTTGATTTGTTTAGTCCTCGAATATTAAATATCACACCCCTAAAATTTTGGGTAAAAATATTAGAAATTCGTTAAATTAATTAAACGGATTAGATTGAATTTTTATTAATGATTTTAGGTTAAAATGTAAACCAAAGATGTTTAAGGGACTAGCTCCATAATTTTCTCAAAATCAAAAGTATCATCTGACACAAAAAAAAAATAAAATGGTAGTTAGAAGGCTTAAACCTGTGACCTAAGGAATGACCACCCATGCCTTAGCCATCTAACTTATGTCACTCTTAATGATTATAATAATAAAAATATCTTATAATTGTTTAAGGATCAGTTTTAATCCCAAAAATCAAATACCCCCAGTGTGGAACCAAATCAAATCCCTAAATTTGGCTTGAAGCTCCCGTCATCGCCCTCTCACCATCATTCACCAGTCTCCAGCCAGTGGTGGCTTACACCGCCTATACCAACAGCTTCACCATCGTCGTGCGACCTCAACCCCGACTGCCATTTTCCTAAGAAGCCAACCATTCGTCATCGATCAGAGGAAAACCGTTTGACTCCTCCACTCGTCTCCACCACCGTTAGTAATTTTCGTCATCGCTTCATCCACTGGAAGTGCCTCGCTTGTTGGATCAAAACCTTGGTGGTCGATTGACGTAAGATGCCCCCATTTGCTATGGAGAATGCCTTGAAGTTGTGCCGAAAACCCAAATCGTTGTCGTTGGTTTTCTCAATTTCGACCGATCTAGCAGTCTACTCCTCTCATCGCCACCACATCCGTGCTTCCCAACGATTTGCGACCAAAACTATTAACCCGATTAATTGTTGACTTTTGGGTTGACTTTGACCAAAAAGTCTATTTTTTGAAAAGTCATATTTTATGTTTTTCTACGTCCTGAGTCCGTTTTGCCAAATTCGAACCTGGTAAGTTGTTTTTCACTGATTAACCTCCTGATTCGATCTGTTTTTCACAAGCTTTGTTTCTGATGTAATTTTTGTTGATATGTATCCGAGATATTATTGGACGTTGGATTCAAGTTGAGAGCAATCGAATAAAGTTTAAATGTTCGATCGGTGTAACTCAAAAATTGAGGTGATACATTATTACCATTACGTACTTTACGGAACATGTTGGTATTTGTTAATGCATGAATAATTATGTTTGGTCACATGTGTAGTTAATATTTCTAAACTCGATCTGTATGCGATATAAAGTATTAAATCGAATAAGACTCATACTACACGTATAAGACACTAGAAAATTAATAAGAAATAATTTCAAATTTAGTGATTATCTGGAAAAATAATTAACCTCATAATCTTAAAATTTTATTTATCCTTGTTAAAAGTTTTAATATTGATATTACCTGATTACGAAATTAAGAAATTACCCTTGAGAGGTAAAAATGGCCCGAATTGACCCTGATAATGAAAGTACCATGAAAATTCATATTTAATTCGATAGATTAAAAATTCACCTATCAAATTATTGATTTGATCGAAAAAATTTAGAATTAGTTCATACATTTGAGAAAGTACAAGACCTATAATTTCTGATTTATGAGCAAACACCCGAATACTAACTTATCGAAAGTACCATTTTTGTCAGAATTGTTTGAAATAACTGAAATAAATGACAAATTTGAATTAAGTGGAAAGACTGGACAAAAGGAAAAGACTAAAATACCGTTGAATTGTAAAATGACCAAAATACCCCTAAAGTGTAAAATAACCTAAAATACCTCCAAGCCCTGAATTGACTGAATACCCTTAAGCTCTGAAATGAATGAATCTACCTCGAACACCGGAATGATCTGAATACCCTCATGACTTGGATTAAGCAAATGCATTTGGACAACTTATAAAGATACCTATAAAGCTTTAAATGTTGTAACACCCTTGAGGTTTATGGTGTAACACCCCCAACCCTTATCCGACCCAGATCCGAGTCCGAAGTATCACATTGACTTTTCAAAAACCTTTACTTGTATAAAATAATGAGTAATTAAAATTTATTATTACATATAAATGTTTCAAAACCTTTATCGAACTATTCAGAGCTTATACAATATATTATTTTGAATACATGCCAACTAGAACTTTATGTATTAAAATACATATTATTCACCTTTCTTCTGATCTGACCTTTGGTAAGGAGAACTAACCTGTCTTGCCTCACATTGCTCTTTACTCTTCTCACTTCGGTAACCTACGTGTGAAATAATCACACGCTAAGTCGATGACTTAGTGAGGCAATAACATAAAATATAACTGTGGCTTGTAATCATGCATGAACAATTACTACTATCACTCATACCCTTATTCATGTAACAAATCCCTATAACACATATGCAATATATATCATTACATATAAAAACATATACACACATATATTAATCACTCATCATTTTCATCATTAGCCTTATTTCATTATCAATATTATTATCGTTTATATCACTTAATACATATCCTCTTATACCTAGCATTTTAACCAACATTTGCCTCATTTAATCATACAATCCACATGTCATCATATAACTCATATAATACCATTCATATCACAAAAGCATACAAATCACATGTAATATATTTGTTGTTTATCTTATTAGCCCATGTACACATGTGAGAACTATAGATATATGAGTCTATAGAGGTTGTGCACTAATGTTGTCACCACAAATCGTATAAATGCACCAAAGTGCCACGTATAATTGCACCGTAGTGCCGCATAGAAATGCACCGAAGTGCCATATAAGGTTATCCTTAAGGACCACATATCATTCCTTAAGAATCATATAAATATGCCAAGGATCAAGTATGTGTCTCAAAAGACCTCACACATGTTCCAAAGAATACATATATGTCCCGAAGGACCGCGTAGACCCTCGACTCTTGGCATGCCAACTATACCCTAGCTCTCATGATACATAACATGTGCATCATCATTTATGTCATTTCACATTTTCACATAAACACGTAGTTCACTTTCACATAGCACATAGATTATGTCATATAAGTTGAATCGCATATACGTATAAACACGTAAATCACTTTCACCTATCACGTAGCTCATATTCACTTTTCATACTATTTCACATTTCTTGTCACATTGCTTATATCTTATTTTTATGTCTTATCCTAGATATATATATATATATATATAAAGATATTCACATGTTCATATAATCCATCATTTCATCATCTAATATGTATTCATATAATTCATCTTCATATATATATATATATATATATATATATATATATATATATCATTTTTTCTATACTTGTATTCACATCATTTATATTCTCCTTCTCATAATCTCCTATGTCCTCATTGATAACTTATATCATATATGTATAAAATAACTTATCTCATATCATATAGCTTATACCTCATTCTATGATATTCACCTAGATCATATCAATTCTGTCACACTCATAAACATAT